AATATACGGTTTACTTAGATTTTCAGTAGGAGTCTGTAGAGGAGGGAAGATTCAAAGCCAGGTGATGATGGCGAGGCCTTGGGAAAGAACCTTTACTCATTATTGTAAATAAAAATAATAATGCCGCCGTGGTTTGAGCCACTGGGAAGCTTAGAAGTAGGTAGATGTTTTAGAGTGTCATGTCTATTATAGATCCTTGGGAAAACCCATTTTACAAGATGGGTAAGTGCGTGGTGGCATCTCAGGTTACTGGCCAAGGAGTGGAGTCAGGATTGACATTTAGATTCTCTGACTTCAAATAAAAGTTATCCAAGTTTTGGCACTCAGGGCTAGCCTTCACGGAATCAACCAAAAAATCATTGCAAAATACACTGAGCTTAGTAGTATCTGAACAGATAAGGATGTAAATATTTAACTAGTACTTGGGATCTCTCTTAAATTTTGAATTAACGAGCCATGCAAATAATTTCCAACATAAGTGGCTGCAAACTCACTACATAGATTTTTGTAAAAAAATTTCATTTTAACTTTTTTGTTGTTATTCTTACTCTCTTGAAATTCCTTCTTCTGATGAAGTGTCTCAAATGTGGAGCTTGGAGTCTTGGATTTCTCTTTCAAAGTGTTAGGTTAGGCGTTTAATCTCTTCAGCTCTAACAGCTACTATGCACTTACATCTCTAATTCATACGTTCAAAATACTATATTTATTATGATTCAGTATTGAGGATTAGCTGACTTTTCACCTCCATGAGCCGAATCTCTCTCTCTGTCTTGTTTTTTTTTTTTGAGCCAAATCTCTAAAAAATTTTTTAATGTTTTATTTATTTTAATGTTTTTATTTATTTGTTTATTTATTTCTGAGAGAGAGAGAGAGAGAGAGAGAGAGAAAGACAGCATGAGCAGGGGAGAGTCAGAGAGAGAGGGAGATACAGAATCTAAAACAGGCTCCAGGTTCTGAGCTGTCAGCACAGAGCCCGACGTGGGGCTCGAATCCACGAACCGTGAGATCATGACCTGAGCTGAAGTCGGACACTTAACCGACTGAGCCACCCAGGCGCCCCACCAAATCTCTTTTTAAACACTTGTTGGGGCACATGGGTGGCTCCGCTGGTTTAAGCATCCGACTCTTAATTTCAGCTCAGGTCATGATCTCATGGTTCGTGAGTTCAAGCCCCACATCAGGCTCCGTGCTGACAGTGCAGAGCCTGCTTGTGATTCTCTCTCTCCCTCCCTCTCTCTGTCTGTCTCTCCTCCATTTGCACTCCCTCTCTCAAAAAAAAAAAAACTTAAAAATAAATAAATTTTAAAAAACCCCACTTGGTGTTGAGCTGATGTAAACAGCCTTCAGCTCCAGCTGGGTGAGCCCAAGTGGCTGGTTGGCCTCTATTCCCCCACTGGTATTTTCCATTCCTTATCTACTCAGGTACACAGTGCACGCCAGCTATAGTCACCAGCTTCCAGGGGCCTCAGAGGCTCCCTTCCTGGATCCCGTTCTGTCTCCATGAGATATAGGGATCTCACAGCCCCTGCTAAGGACTGATCTCCCTCCTTCTCTCCGGCACTCAGCAGTATAAACTCACCGGACCCAGTGACATTCCTCCAGCACTTAGATAATGCGCAGTAATGGTTTGGAGTGTCCTCTTTTCTTCTGTTACTAGTCTAAGAGTGAGAAGGGCTTTGGGCCACCTGGGCTTCTGGAATCTCAGGATCATACTCCCATAATGACCACCTCCTCTGCCACGAATTCCTGTCTACCAGAAAACAGTGTAGAATTATTATTCCTACGAAGGCACCAGGAAGATGGTTTCTGGGAGGCTGTAAAAATCCTGCCAGACAGGTTCAACCTTGAGGACCTCATAGCCTCTGTGGGATGATAAGACATAGATAGAGCCAGAGGCAGAACAGTGACGGCAGGTGGGTGCCCACCATGGCCTTTGTGGCACGTGGGGAAGGACAGGAGCTGCAGCTAGATTTTGTTTGTTTGTTTGTTTGTTTGTTTGTTTCATTCAGACTTCTTAAGTGGAGTTCAGTGACTGGGGAGAGAAAATAAGTACTTCTGGCAGGCAGATCCTCCTACTAGAACCAATATTTTAACTGCAAAATTTCTGAATCTCTGCCTATCGTTCCCAGTTCAGACTTAAGTTCAGAACTTTTACCAACCACTCCTCTGTACCTCTTATTACTATTTTGCTTACCTTGTTCCTGCCAGATCCTTTCTGGACTTAAGGGGGTTTTATTCTAGATTCAAATGTCTGTCCCTGCCCAGTGCAGTTAGCAGCAGGAAGGACAAGTCACATAATGTTGCCGAGTCTTCTGTGGGAAGGTATCTTTTTAGGGTAAATGTTATCTTGGAGGGAAGGAAAACTTCTCCTGCTGGGTAAAAAATCACCAAACACTTATCTTCTGAGTCTCTTTACCCAGCCTATCTCCGTGGCTGTCAGCTTGAAGTTCTCCTTTTTAATCAATTCAAGGCCAAGTATATGTAGGCTACACTAATGACAAGGAATAACGAGTTAGACAATGAAGGAAATATGAAAAGTCAGAGGTCTGCGGAATCCATAAATTGTTTTACTGGGCACCACATAACTGAGAGTTGCCTACAGGAGAAAATGAAGACTTCGTTTCTCTTTTTGTGTAGTTATGGCTTTTTTAGATGGTTAAGGTTGCGAGGTTTCAGTTCATTCCTGTTGAAAGAGCACTTCCTGAATTTCCCCTTCCTGAAGAAACTCACATGCTCTTGCCGGATGGGAAACCCCTTACAGCACCAGGCATGTAGGCGCTCAAAGGACTCTGTTGATGAACTAATGACATGAATGTAGATGTTGGATGCTCTGGGGTCTGTCTCTATATCTCCCAGATTTATGGTTCCTGAATAATCACTTGAATCTCTGAATAGTTTTAGAGGCTCGAAAACCTTTGTAAAGTATGGTCTGTTTTACGTGTTTCTAGATTGTACAAGTAAAAAGCATACAAACAGAGCAGCTCTGTTTCTTGGTTGAAAACAAGTTGCTTTCCAGTCCAGGTCTCCAAGGTCATGTTATGTTGAAAAATAATTAGTGGAAAAACCATAAAATATTATCATGTTCTTTGTAACTATTGCATTTTTTTTCTGATAAGAGAGAAAAGAGATAAAACCCAGACATTCCTAGGAGTTGTTGCATTTGAAAACTTTTTTTTGTTAAAGTCCATCTTATCAGTGAGGCCAAAGGCAATGCAACACATTTTGAGGGTCCACTCAGATCTTGAGTGTCACGTTCCCTTCATAAACTCAGAAATGCCTGACCCTACTTGCCAAGTATAGGGCCAAGGTATAGCTGAGGATTCCTGGGCTCTGGAAGAGTTTCAAGAGCTGGACTTAGCTCTATATACCTGCCCAGGTTTGTAGAGCATGACCTTGGAGAAAAGGATCCCTCTTTGAACTTTAGGGCAGAATGACCTAACTTCCAAGAAATCACACTGGGTTCAGTTTTGTGGAGGGACATCAAGGAAGTAAAAGGCAAAGTCCTGCTCTCAGTGAGCTCCAGAGAGCATGTGGCCGTAACAGCTGGAGTATGTGACCTTGGTCTCGGGCAGGTGGAGCCGAGGAGGACTGAATCCCTTTTTGGTGTCTTGCTCTGGACATCTTGTGGACACAGGCTCTGTTGTTAATAGCACTGCCTCTGTCTCACAGCATCATCCAGCCCTGACCACACAGCTTTGACTTTAATTTCTACTCCGCTAAGACTAATCTTAGCTGCTTATGTGTGCTGAATGTCTCTCATTTACCTCCCTACCCCATCCACTCTCCATCCTTTCCCACAGAATCTGTGTCCCAGGAGGATATCATCCAGAAACTTCCTCAAAGGGATCCCTAGGTCTCTGGCTTCCTAACCTGTTCAACCCACGGAGAACTCTGGCAAGAGATGAGGGGTCAGGATGCTTAGCACCCCAGCACCCACCCAGTGGGGTCACTGATGACCACAGCTCAGGCAGGGGGCCCCTCCTTTCTTTCTCTCTCTGGGTTCTGGAAACCCCTCCCTGCAGGCCAGGATTGAAAGGGTGCAGTGACCCCAGGTTACTTTCCACCCTTGCGGTTTAACCAGTCCACACTTAAATGATTCCTTTAACAAATGCATTTCAGATTTCCAGTTCGGAGTGTGCCATTTGTTTCCAGCGGGGACCCTGACTGACCACTATGGTCTGATGAAACATGGTGCCGTCCTTTGTCCCTGAGAAGGGCAGTGGTGCCCAGGGCTGGGGTGCCTCTCACCTGCGGGATAACCCCGGCTAAGTGACTTCTCCTCTCTCAGCCTGTTTTCCAATATATAACAAAAATTGTGTAGGCTAAATGATGTCCAAGTCCCTTCCGATTCTACTACGAGATAATCCTGGACTGTCCATTTTGCGTTCTGAGTTCTCATTACGGATTGTGGAAGGCTCTGCAGACAGACCTGCACGGAGTGTGTCACGGTCATTTTAGTGTCTACCAGCACCACGAGGAGGTGGGCAGTGTGCTTTCCAGCTGCCGTGAGGACTTCTGGGGGTGGGCTCAGAAGCTCAGAGGGGTCGAGGGGTCCCGCAGCCGTGTCTGAGGTGGGAGCCCCACGGAAGGCTTTGCGTGGCAACAAATGGGAGCTCGGCCAAGGGGCAACGGGCTGGGGATCGAGCCTGTCGTCCACACGCTCGTGGCTGGGGCTCAGGAAACTCCGCGAGCCCAGGGGGGCCCAAGAGACACATCCTTTGGGGCCTCGTCTTCCCGCCAGCAAAGGGCTGGCGGTGAGCGACCGACTGAAAGGCAGCGGCCAAGGCCAGGGCGGGAGCGCAGGGGCGCGGCGGCCGCCCAGAGCGGTGCCGCCAAGGGGAAGCCCCAGCCGCTCGCACCGCGGTGGGAGACCCGGTCCGCACCGAGCGGCAGCCCGTGGGGGCGGGGCGGAGGGCGGGCACACGGCGATTGGTGCCCAGCCCTCTGCAGCCAGCCAATGGGCGGCGAGGGCGTCCCGGGGGCGGGGCGGAAGCCGCGTCTTAAGGTCTGTGACGCGTCGCCGTCGCGCTGCAGCGCTGTCGACGCCGCTCGTCCCGTGCTGGGTCTGGAGGCTCTGCCAGGTATCCGCGCTGGCGCGCCGGGGCCGGGGCTTGGGTCGAGCCCGGGCCCTCCTCCTCCCCCGACGGCTGGACACGCCGCTGGCGCGGGGGGCTCCGGTGTGGGGCCCGGGGTCCGGGGCCTGGGGTCTGGAGGGTGACGGGCCGAGGGGGCGCGCTGGGCCTCGGCCGGCGGGCAGGCTCCGCCTCTGCGGCCGTTTTACGTGGCCCGCGGCGGGCACCGGGGGGCAGGGGAGCGGCGGGCCGGAGCGCAGCCTCGGCGGGCATGGACGCGGCGCATCCCGGCCCGGAGCGGCGGGCGGGAGGGCGGCGAGGGAGGCAGGCGGCAGAGACAGGCTGGGGATGTGGCACCTCCGCCTGCCAGAGCGGGCGGAGCCCGGCCGGCCCTCGGCCCTCCAGGCCGGCGGCCCCCGAGTCCACGCCGCGGCCCCCTCAACGCCCCGGGGTCTCTGCGCCTTCTGACTGCGCCCCTCTGGGTTTGCGAGAAGGAGGTGATGGGCGCTGGCTTGTGGGGAGGAGGCTCCGGACACCGCGGGTACCCTGGGGTCCTGAGGTCCACCTGAAGGGTGCATTCTGGGTGCGGGGAAACTGCGCAGTGAACGGTGGGTTTTGTAATGGGGCTCGGGGCGCTGATGGAGCCTCTGGAAAAGGGTTCGAGTCCCCCCGGACAGCGCCTGGGCCCTGCAGCCAACCTGCTTATCTCTCCCCTCCCCCAACGTCATTTTCCCTCCAGCCTTTGTCTGAACTAAAAATTACAGAAGTGGAGGCTTATCTGCAGCAACGTGCCGATTAATTGGATGGTGTCAAGGGATTGGGGCCCGCAGGGCTTTCTGCACGAAAACTTTATTCTTAGTTCCTTTGCCAGCAGTACTGAGCATCAGGAAGTACTGGCTGAATTCAGTGGGGCACTTGTGCTCCAGAACCTTTGGTTCTCGCTTCTTGTCACTGTAAATAAACTCTTCTTGATTTCAGTTTTACCTCTTTGATAAGGTGATAAATTAAGGGAAAAAAGGAGGAGTGGGTTTGAAATGAATTGGCTTTAAGAAATTACAGATCTTAATTTTCTCAGTTCTAGATCTCATCGGGTTTGTAAGAGTTTCTGTAGGTAAACTGGTTTTTCGGTTTGAACCTGGACGTGTCCTTTATGTAATCCAAATTCTTTACCTTACCTGTTTGAAATAAACAATAGACTTCTTTCATTAGAATATCTTGGTTTCATCTTCAGGGAATCCAGTTCCGGACGATGGACAAGATCCAAGTATGAAAGTAGAGTCTTTTTTTTTTTTTTTTTGAAGCATTTTTAGAAGTTTTAATTCCAGTGTAGTTAATAAAAATACAGTGTTCTGTCAATTTCAGGTGTACAATATGGTGATTCAACAGTTGCATCTATTACTCAGAGCTCATCAAGATAAATGTACTCTTATTCCTCTTCTGAAAGTCGTCTTTTAACAAAAATAAGATTTAATAAAACTTACCATTTTGGGTTTACAGTTTTTCTTGGTGTTCAAGATTAGTTTTACATCCCCTCCCCCCCATAAGCAGCATAACTTTAAAGTAAAACTTTATAATAAAAATTCTTGAAAAGGCATTTTTTCTCCTCAAGCTGTCTTATTTATATTTTCACCTATACTCTGCTTTTGTTACATTTACTCATGTGGATATTTTATGCCCCTTACTGAGTTCTTGAGGACGGACCGACTCCTATATTTTAATATGGAGAGGAATGGACCAAATTTGGGAGGTGTGTGGAGGGTGTGGTGAGCAGAGCCAGTCCTTTTTCAGTAGTAATGCCTCAGGTGTTTGCCAGTGACGCACTTGAGTTGAATTTTAGCCAGATTATGTACAAAAAAAAAAAAAAAAAACCACTCAAACTTTTGTTGGCAGAACTTTTAAAAAGGTACCGTGTTTGTGAATGGTTACCTCAAGAAAAGTAAATATTTGACCAATATAGTAAAGCCAGATTTATTCCGCAAGTGGAATATTTTTAGTGGCTTTTTGATGAACGTCCACTGGTTTTTCTTTTAGAGTAATTAAAAAAAGAAAAACAACCCCTAGTATTTCATACTGCACTGCTAAATTAACTCTTCAAAATGCAGCCTTTTATGGAAGTTCTATTTAGGTATGTGTTCAGGTAGACAAGATGGATTAGATAGTAGGGGCGCCTGGGTGGCTCAGTTGGATAAGCATCTGACTTCAGCTCAGGTCATGATCTTGCAGTTTGTGAGTTCGAGCCCCACGTTGGGTTCTGTGCTGACAGCTCTGAGCCCGGAGCTGCTTCGGATTCCATGTCCCCCCCAACCGCCCACCTTTCCCATGTTCATGCTCTGTCTCTCAATAATAAATAAATGTTAAAAAAAAGATGGATTAGATGGAAGGGAGTAGTAATAGCTTGAAGAAAGACTTTGAATTATGTAGATTACTGAAAATACTTCAGTGTTAAGGTTTTTGCTGTTAGTAGCAGTTTGCTGTTTTCTCCAGCACCTGAGTGTGGGCCTTGGTTAAATGCAGGACAACAGCCTGGACTGGTCACAGTTATACATGTTATTTTGACTCTTGAAGGCCATTAAATCTCTTAAGTGAACTTTAAAAAAAAGCTTTTATTTAGATTCCAGGCAACGTACAGTGTAAAGTTAGTTTCAGGTATACAGTTTAGTAATTCAGCACTTAAAATGCCCAGTGGTCCTCATAAGCACCCTCCTCAATCCCCATCACCTATTGACCCATCACCCCACCCACTCTGTTAGCCATCAGTTCAGTTCTCTGTGGTTGAGTCTTGGGTTTCCTCTCTTCTCCCCACTATGATCCTTTGTTTTGTTTCTTAAATTCCACATGTGCGTGAAATCGTATGGTATTTGTTGAAGTGAACTCTTGATGGGAAGATTATAGTTCCTCCTGATGCTATCTTAGGGAATGCGAGTTTTCTTCCTAGAGCTAGCCGCAACTCAGGGATGGGAGATGCTATCTGCTCTCTGCATGGCCTTGCTCTCTCTGCTGCCTTGACTTCTTTAGGAGGCCTATGTGTATTTAGGAATGACCTCATTCATTTGATAGACAAAGAATGCTAGTGGGCTGTCCAAACCCGGGCTGGATTCTACGGATTAAAAGTGAGTTTTCAGATATGGTTACTGTTCTTTTAAGGAGCCTACTGGGATTGTAATAGGGGACCAGGCATGAAGACAAGTGTCCTAAAGTGTTAGGGTCTGTGACAAAAACGTGCAAGATTCCTGGGAGTCTTCAGGGGGGTCTTATGTAGTGAATTTTATGTGGCGGCATGAAAAAGCTAAGGGGTATAGTATTTAGGAATACTGCAGTTTATACTGTATACTTTGCAGTATAAAATTGCAGCTAATTTTCTTGTCTGTGTTTATAATTTTTTTATCAATAGAAAAATTTTGCTTTTGGGGGGGGAGTTTAAAAAAGAAACCATGAGGGGCGCCTGAGTGGCTCAGTGGGTTAAACGTCCGACTTCAGCTCAGGTCATGATCTCACGGTTCGTGAGTTCGAGCCCCGTGTCGGGCTCTGTGCTGACAGCTCAGAGCCTGGAGCTGCTTCGGATTCTGTGTCCCCCTTTCTCTCCGACCCTCCCCTGCTCACGCTGTCTTTCTCTCTCTCTCAGAAATAAATAAAAACATTAAAAAAAATAATAAAAAAGAAACCATGACACTGCTGATTTTTATGTTGTAGAAGTTGTTAAATTCCATTATGAATTTGAGGGAGGAAGGGAACCGAGTGCCAGGTTTGGCAATTTAACCTTTTGTCACTCAATCCTCGGTAATGACCTTGAGTGGTTTCAACCTCATGTTACAAATAGGAAATGAAGCTCAAGATCGCCCAAAGGTACTTTGAAGAGGCTCAGCTAGAATTTAAATCCCGGTCTCCAGATTCTGTGGACTTTCTACCCTACTCTCCTGGTTTTCTAAGCCTTTTTGGAAGAGGATATTACTGATACTGTCTATTTTCGATGAGCCCATCTTACGTCTGTTCTGAGGTTTCTTGTATAGCGCCACGCATAGTAACTCGGCCACAGAAGGTTCTTTAATAGAAATATGTTTACAGGATCCTGGTTACATCATCACACATTCAAGTGCAGGACTTTTCCCAGTTGAATATTCAGAGTTCATCTTTAAAAACCTTAAGGATGAGTATTAGCAATGTTTTGTATGTTACTGTTTTGTCAGTAAGTTGTGGTGTTTGTTCTAATAAGATTGCCTGAGCTCTGCAGATAAATGGACATTTTGTCCCATTTCTGTTGCAAATTAGCTGAGTAAATAGTAGGAGACCATTGAATTTAGATTAAGTTCAAAGATTCCTTTCACTTGCAATACTGTATCATCCTGTTAATGAACTTACAAAATTTTTTTAAAGTTTATTTTGAAAGAGAGCAGAGGAGGGGCAGAGAGAAAGGGAGAGAGAGAGAAAATCCCAAGCAGGCTCTGCACCATCAGCATGGATGCCCGAGGGACTTGAACTCATAAAACAGGAGATCATGACCTGAGCCTTAACCAACTGAGCTATCCAGGTGACCCTGAAGGAACTTAAAACATGCCTTAAAATGAACTTAGAACAGGAGCCTGGCTGGCTCATCGATAGACCATGTGACTCTTGATATCAGAGTTGTGAGTTCAAGCCCCATGTTGGGTGTAGAGCTAACTTTAAAAAAGAAAAAAAAAGAAAAAAGCATGCTAGTTAAGAGAGTTTTTAGTTTGTTTTTCTTTTCTTTTCTTTTCTTTTTTTAATACCTCACTTAGGCTAGTAGTGCTTCCCTGCCTGGTCCTAGTCACAGAGGTGCAGGCCTTGATAGTAAAATCATTATAGAGAATAGTTTTTATTTTAGAATTTAACCCTCTCCCCTACATACAAATGAACTTTTAGACGTAATTTTTATAATCCAGTCTGCACTTCCTAGGGGAAATGACCTCTGCCTTTCTTTTAACCACAATCCGTTTTTTCAGAGCTTCTCAAACCTTTCTTTTTTCCTTAGTTTTGTTTTGTATGTTGCCTGAACTTTCTCTCTAATGTGACAGTCTAGGCAGGGACTCAGCTGCAGTTTTAATAACTTCCTTTTTCTTTTTCTTTTTTTAAGTTTATTTTTTATTCTGAGAGAGAGAGAGCAAGCAGGGGAGAAGCAGAGAGAGGGAGACAGAGAATCCCAATCTCCGTGCTATCAGTGTAGAGCCCTATGCAGGGCTCGAACTCACGAACCATGAGATCATGACCTGAGTTGAAGCCAAGAGTTGGATGCTTCACTGGCTGAGCCATTCAGGTGCCCCTAACTTTTTTTTCTTTTTCTTTTTTTTCTTTTTTAATGTTTTATTTATTTCTAGGAGAGAGAGAGAGAGAGACAGCGTGAGCAGGGGAGGGTCAGAGAGAGAGGGAGTCACAGACTGAAACAGGCTCCAGGCTCTGAGCTGGCAGTCAGCACAGAGCCCGACGCGGGGCTCGAACCCACGAACCGTGAGATCATGACCTAAGCGAAAGTCGGACGCTTAACCGACTAAGCCACCCAGGCGCCCCCCCTAACTTTTTTTTCTGATTATAAATGTAGTAGTTCATGATCATTAGAAAATGTGGAAAGTACAGAATAGTAGAAAGATAACCACAGTGAACATTTTTGTGCCTTTTTCAGGTAGTTTTTCCTCATATTATTTCCTTATATATAATCTTGAACATTTAGTATATATGTTTTTCTTAACTTAAAGATGTCCTGAAACATCTCTCCATGTCATTATACACTATAATTATTTTATTTATTGATGTATTTATTCTGTTTATTTAAAAATTTTTTTTAATGTTTTATTTATTTTTGAGAGAGAGATAAAGACAGCATGTGCAGGGGAGGGTCAGAGAGAGAGGGAGACACAGAATCCGAAGACAGGCTCCAGGCTCTGAGCTCGAACCCACGAACTGTGAGATCATGACCTGAGCTGAAGTCGGACGCTTAACCGACTGAACTACCCAGGCGCCCCTATTCTGTTTGTTTATTTTTGAGAAAGAGAGGGGGACAGAGGATTTGAAGTAGGCTCTGTGTTGACAGTAGAAGCCTGCCGGGAGGGGGGTAGGGGAGGCTCAAACTCACTGGTTGTGACATCATGACGTCAATCGAAGTCAGACACTTAACTGACTGAGCCACCCAGGTGCCCCTCACTATAATTATTTTATTTTTATTTTTATTTATTTATTTTTTTAATGTTTTATTTATTTCTAGGAGAGAGAGAGAGAGAGAGACAGTGTGAGCAGGAGAGGGTCAGAGAGAGAGGGAGTCACAGACTGAAACAGGCTCCAGGCTCTGAGCAGGCAGTCAGCACAGAGCCCGACGCGGGGCTCGAACCCACGAACCGAGAGATCATGACCTAAGCGAAAGTCGGACGCTTAACTGACTAAGCCACCCAGGCGCCCCTCACTATAATTATTTTAAATGATAGCACGTTGTTATGTATGTGATTATGTTGATCCATTCTCATATTGTTGACTATCTTTTATGCATGAATGTGGGATCTTATGAGTGAAATTACTGGTCTAAATCCAAGGCTATGATTATGACTATAATTCTTTTCAGATGGTGTTTGTTTAGAGTGCCACCGTGGAACTTTTTATTGCTGATTTGATCAAGTCAAAAATTGTGTGAAGTTTTTAGTTGGCCAAATAGAACATTAATTCTTACTGAGTAGAACATAAAGAGGCCAAGAAACAAAGTTAAAATCCATGTCTTAAACTTGACAGTAGTATTTTGAGGAAGTTCTCCCTCGTTCTGCAGAGCTAGACCTTGCATATTTGCGAACTGCCAGCTCCAGTCCGCTAGTTCCTACATAACTTTGCTATTGATACATGCCTCTCTCAGATAAAACCTGGTGAAAGCTAAGGACCTTTCTCCTTAGGAAAATGCACTTACACATACGATTCTGCATTTTATTTCAGGAGTTCTCGGATCATCTAAGCCCGTTGCTGGATCTCAGGTCACAAATCTACATTCTGATTTGAACTGTGGGAAGAAAGGATAGTTGGTGAGTCCTGGCGTGCCGGATTTTGTTAGGTAATGGCAAATTCCTGAGCACCCTGGATTTACCGGGTCGTGCCAAGCTGAAAGGGAAGCCAAGCCCCAAGTATTAAATTTTTGCTAATCTGGCAGTTCAGATGGAGTTCTGTGAGATTGTGTGATTTGACTTGTCATTCATGGAGTTCTGTCTAAACATGACTTAACTAGTCTTTAAAAAAAATAGAGACATCCTAAGTATGCTTAGTTTTTGGCAACTTTCTACTAGTCTTGAGATTATTTTTTTCTTTTTTTTTTTTATTTACTTACTTTTGAGAGAGTGTGAGAGGGAGTGAGAGTACAAGCACGGGAGGGACAGAGAAGGAGAGAGAGTCCCAAGCAGGCTCCACACCGTCAGCGCAGAGTCCATTGCAAGGCTCAACCCCACAAACCTTGAGATCATGACCTGAGCCGGAATCAAGAGTCAGACGCTTAACTGACTGAGCTCCCCAGGCGCCCCAGTCTTGAAATTATCTTTAAAAAAAGACTCTTCCTCCTCCCCCCTCCCCCTGCCCCACCCCAACATAATTACTATGCATTTTCTCCAATTACCCTTTTCTTCTTAGCACCTTCCATAGCTGGGGCTCTGCTTCATGGTTGATGATGACTCTTAACGGCACAGGTGGAAACAGCCATCAGGGGCGCCCTGAGGCGGGGCTCGTTTCAGGGCTGCTTGGGACAGAGGAGGGGAGCAGCCGAGACTCTGAAATACATAAATAGGTGGTGAGGAAATGTCAGTTTGCTCAGTGATGTTCAGGTTTTGTTACCCAAACTCTTGGCTCCTTGTGGTTTGTTCTCTCGTTCCTGATTACCTTTTTCTCCTTTGACTCCTTGCTTTGGAGGGGCAGGTGTTTGGGGATAAGTTTTATGAAAACATCCATCCTGGCACAGGAGACTCTCTTTCGGGAAGTGCCTGTTCCCATCTGTGTGTGTGTGTAAATAAGTATATATAATATGTATTTTATATATTTTATATAGTATGTAATATATAATATTTAATATATATGTTTTGTTCTGTTCATCTTAATGTTAAAGCTCTTCAAATATCATTTATTCTAAATTATCAAATGATTTTCCCTAGTCTTTTTGCCTTTAACCTTTATTTATGATAATTTTGACCTATAGAAATTACAGATATTTGTGGCTCAGTAACAGACTTTACATTTTCTGGTTTCTGTCTTTGGTGTTATACTTAACACACCCTTCCCTTGCCCCAGGAAATCACTTCTTCCTCCCCACACCTGCTCTTTTTCCTTTTGGATGGTCCCCATTATCTTTGTAGAAACCAAATTCCTTCTCAGTGTCTTCACACCTTACGTACAAGGACAGAGTCAGTATGCGAGGCGGTTCTCAGTCCCGCCATCACCTCCCCATGGCATGATGACTCCTGGCCAGGCTGCTGGCTTGTCTGCTGTCTTCATACTGGGGGTCTGTGCCCATCTGAAAGGACCCTGCCCTCACAGCAGTGCCTTTTTAAAAAAAAAAAAAAAAATCAAAAAAAA